TACGAGGGGCATTTTTGATTTTGGACTTTATCGAAAATTCAGTTAAAACTGCTTCATGATCAGAGAGACCCGAGCTAAAGACGTTGCAGGCGATGGAGTTAGGATCAAAAGATGACACAACATAGTCTATAGTACTAGAACTGGTATTGGATATTCTGGTAGGTGAGCCTACATGCATGACCATTCCAAAAGAATCAAAAATGGACTGAAGAAACTCCTGAGCAGCACATACACTAAGAAAGTCAATATTAAGATCACCACACAAAATTAATTTGCTTTTCAAGGGCAGGGACTCAAGCAAGCTTAGTGGATTATGACAGAATAATTGCACGTCAGAGTCAGGTGTTCTATAAATACAAATAATGTAAAGGTCATAAGCATTATGGTGGACAATGGAAAATTCGAATACTTTTTCAGATAACAAATCATTGTACCTAGTTACCTCGGAAAAGTCGTTGTTTAAAGACATTATCATAGTACCTCCATGAGAAAAATTTGTTCTATCAAATCTGGCTACTGTGGTATAATTTTTAATAAACACAGGCTCATCAAAATTCAACCAGTGCTCAGTTATGGCAATGATATCAGGAAATTCAAGTTCTTCTAGTAAAAGATATAAACAAAAGCCGTTTAAAATTGTAACGGAACAAAAAAAGTAAGGCCGCAAAATTCCATCTTTGGTACACCCCAATAAAATTTTCACAAAAGGTAGGTAATGGTTTATCAAACCCAAGTAGGTACCTAGATTAGATTTATTCAGATAAGAAAGTACAGTTTTTCGAAAATAGATGTTGTTTATAAATTACAGGCGGTTTATAGAACTTAAATTTAATTTTTAACATTCAATACCCTTTCTTAAAAGGGAAACAGAAATTGTTATTAACTTATTGGTAATTAGTATGTACCATGTATCTTTTTCCTACAAATAATTTAATTAATAAATATATAATTTAAAAAACATAATAAATATATGATTTAAAAAATAAACCTTAAAATATAATTTAGAGATCTGCTATTTTTTATGTCTAGGTACGCCTCTGATCTACAGAGAATAAGATATAATAATATACCTAACCCTACTTATTTGTATTTACCGGTGAAAAGTTAAATTTGGATTTAAATGATACACTCTCTTGTACACAATACATGAATGCATCATATTTTCAAATTAATGTCCACAGAAGTCCACAAAATAACGCACAAATACTATAATACTGCAAATAAAGAATATGGAGCTTGATCGGCGGCATAGCAACATCGCAAAAGGAGAATCTAGGATTTTCCATTCATCCTCGAAGTACGTCGTACTACGCCGGCATATTTCTAAAACTGACGTTGCCAAACTGCTTTTTCTTATTAAAAGAAACACGACCATGATATTTTTATTCCATTATAAAATTTAAAATAGTAAAGCAGTTAAGAATACTAATACCAATATACAGGTAAATCTGGCAAATGTTTTCTGTGTAAGAGAGATGGGAAAATAAGGATAGAATAATGGCTGATGAAGGAGAAAGGTAAACAATTGTATCCCTTGAGTTTAAATATCTTTGATTAAACCCAATTATTTTTATTAAAAAAAACCAGTTTGCGCAAATTAAATGAGAGTGTAAACGGCTCTTTAAACTTTTTCGTTTTTGTTTTGAAGTTTTGAAACACTCTGTATAGATATTAAATATAATGCGAGTGGTAGACATAAACAGCTTAAGGAAAAGCAAGGAACAAATTTATATATTAAACTCTGGGAACAGTTCCTGTTCCCGATCATATTTCATGGGATATAAAAGAACTTTCCTAATAATAAAAATGTCTTATCGATTATGTCCGACATACCCTCGGAGCATTTCAAAATATTTTAAAGTCAAATTTAACTTCATCCCTGTCTTGCAACTTTTTTTATGAATAATTATTCCGAGCTATGTTTTTTTACTAAAGGGGAAGAGAAAAAGTGCTTTCTTTAAATTTATCGTTCGAGTTTTATAAAGCCAAGAAAAACAAAACTGTTTTCTTTTTTTAATCTGACTCGCAAAAAACATTTTGTAATCCGCGAAATTTCTAGAGGCACTTTAAAACTGTCTGCGTTAGTTTGCGTGTTTTTTTTTTATCTTAATTTTAATTATTTGGCCAGTCATATTTTAACTAAGCTTGCAAATTTTTCTCAGTCTCATAAAATGTCGATGCCTAAATTTAGCTATGTTCAGAGTGTAGTACTTTATTATTATCTGGTTCAAAACATCAAAATTGTTAGAAAGTATCAATGGTCTTTCGCCATGTAACAAAAAATATTTTTTTTACTATTTTCACAAGTTTCGAAAGTACCAAAAAAAAACAGAATGTCGAGTCCCGGTTTCTTGAGGTCTTGAAAGAAGTGGGAATTTTCGGTAATTTTGGTACCGGAATTTCCCGGTTCTGTACCCTAGTTCTGACCAATTAAGAAAATATAGTATTATACAGGGTGGTCCAAATTGTATTTCGGAAATTCGGCAACATCTTCTGCAGATAAAAATAAGTAAAAAAGTTCGTATAAATGTATATCCTAAAATGCGGAGATACAAAGTGTAGAAGTTTCATTTTTATTTTGATTTTTTCCAAATAATTTAGTAACGTCAATAATTAGATGAAAATTGGTATCTGGTAGTTTTTTGACATGAGAAATTTGATTTTGAGGTCAATATGATTCCTACTTGTAGAGGGCGCCACCTACATATCTCTTAACTGGTTTGAATACTAATAACTTTTCGTCCGTACCTGTTTTTGTGTCAAAAGTTCGACAGAAACTGTTTTTCTTTGCCGAAAAAATTATGATTAAATTAAAAAAATAAAAATTTCCCGAATTTATCATTTCAGTCAAATAACTATCTAAATAAACAAAATACGAGTAGCGGAAAAAGGGGCCAAAAAACCCTACATATATGCTTATTCTCTGCATTAAGTTCATCAGACCGAAGGGCACATATTGGTGCCCCCTTTCTCTGATAGATATGTTAAAGACACCCGGTAAAATAAACGTAAGTAGTTATATTTATCATCTTATTAAGAAAAAAGTAGAAGTAGTAGTGTCAAAAATATTTCGAACCCCTTAACATAACAAATTAATACAATTTTTTTCATTTTTTGGGTAGGTAGTTTATAGCTGGTTTATAGTAACCAGAAACTTTATTAATATACCTATTTTACTTCCGTTTTAAGATTAAAACTGAACTTGAATATGATTCAGGATCATGATTCTCGTAAAGTCTTCTTTGCTTGGATATTCATTTTGTTATTGCAATTAGGCAGTTTTTTCGAAAAATGCTCCTAATGCCCTTTAAAAAAATTGGCCGATCGTTTCCTGCAACAGTCAGTTCTTCTGCATTTAAAATTGGTAGGTGGATGGAATAAACACTGTTATTTTTTGTTATTATATTATAAAAAGTTTATTTATTTTAATGTATAAATAAATATGTTTATAAAACAGTACAATTTTTGCCTTTTTTATAATTTCCCTTATAATAGTAGTATTCTTTCGTTCTGAAAGAAACTGCAAATTTTCACTTAAACTGATTTATTCCCTACACCACGTTCCCTTTACGTGGTATAGGGAATAAATCAGTTTAAGTGAAAATTTTCAGTTTCAGAATGAAAGAATACTACTAATAATGGCTAATTTAAATTTTCCGCCAGCCAGAATGTGCGATAATGTCTTACGATACGTTTGATACCTATCTCTTTCTTTTTCATATAAAGCACACATAATAAAGAAAGATAGCAATAAAGACGGACGTCCTGCCATGGGGAACGCGGTCCCACTCTTTACTATGGGATTTGTCAGACTCTTTTTATTTGTTTGTCTATGCCCTCGATCTGACCAACGAAAGGCAGAGAATAGCATTTGAGTACAAAACGTACTACTATGGTGAGAGTGCTAGACGCTCTACGCCATCTAGCGGCAGCTGTGACAATCACAGATCGTACCGACAAAATTAAAACCAGCGGCCTACTGGACAAACATGATTGCTTCATCCACGTTACCGTAGATGGAGCTAAGAAGGCTTAGGTAGGGTATATATAAATAAACAAAATACGAGTAGCGGAAAAAGGGGCCAAAAAAAGAAGGCTGTTCCCTTCTGTCTGATGAACTTAATGCAGAGAATAAGCATATATGTAGGGTTTTTTGGCCCCTTTTTCCGCTACTCGTATTTTGTTTATTTATATATACCCTACCTAAGCCTTCTTAGCTCCATCTACGGTAACGTGGATGAAGCAAATAACTATCTAGTCAACGCGTTTATTTTTTTGTCAATAATGACATGTATTGACTATTCTATTATAAATATCTTGGGAACGGTTACTCGTAGCGATTTTTACCAAGATATTTTTTTAGGTAAAAATTCACGAAAATGTATATTTTTTCACTCAGTACTTTTATACAGGTACGGACGAAAAGTTATTAGTCTTCAAACCAGTTAAAAGATATATAGGTAGCGCCCTCTACAAATAATAAGAGTCATTTTGACCAGTGGCGGCTTAACCATAAGGCCAAATGGTCAATGTCATCAAATCAAAAGAAAATTAGGAAAAAACTATTCAAAATATACTTTTTCTAAAACACTTTTTTTCATCCTAAGATATTCTAAACTATTCCCAAAAACCATCAATTTTTTAGATTTATTTTCCTTTAACTAAACGTACAAGTACTTTGTAAGAAACCCATTAAATTTGGGCGCGTCTTAAAAAAAATCGACGCAATATTTTTAGATATTGACCTCCCTACAATAATTGACATCAAAATCAAATTTATCATGTCAAATAACTCCCAGACATCAATTTTCATCTAAATATTGACGTTACTTCAGAAATTATTTGAAAAAATCGAAATAAAAATGAAACTTCTACACCCTGTATCTTCGAAACTAAGCATTTTGGGACATACATTTATACGAACTTTTCTACTTCGGACCACCCTCTATAGCTTCCTTACCACTCTGAACACATTCGCATGTGCGTCTTTGGGTACTTACCGCATCGTTGTGGTTCCAGAAAATGTAAGCGGGCGGCTCGGGACTGTGCCGGACCACGCAGGTGAGATTGATGGTGCTGCCGCGATCGATGAACAGTTCGGGGCCGCCCACGATCTCCGTGTCGGGCTCTGAAAAGTTAAAACCGCAGGTTAGTTCTGGGAAAGGCCGTGGGGGCGCCGCGGACCGCAGCGGCCGATTAGTTTCGTTCCAACAATTATTTTACCGTTATCGGCAAAATAATTGTAAATGTTTCGCGTTGATGCGAAGGCGGATAATGTACGTATTCGAATAGAGGACTGGATTTGTCCTAAAATATGAATGAAAAGGGTAATTATAAGACTAAATTGAACGGGAGATTGTTTTTGTGACAAATAATATCGAATTGCTTCAATGCCCCTACAACAATTGTAGCGTTTTTTTAAACCACTACCACTGCGAACGGCAGCTTTTCATCGGAGAGCAGTCGTGGATAAGGTATTTCACTGGAAAGAAAACTAATTAAGAACAATAAACAAAAAAATAGATATTGGGCGCCAGGCATGTACAGAGAAAGAAAACACAGTTGTATATTACTTAAAACTAATGACTATACTATATTTATACTATATTTATTCATGTTGAATTCTGATGGCAAATAGCATTGTACAAATTTTTTAAATTGTTAAATTTTATGCGGTGTTAGATCTGATGTGTTGCAACCTGTAGATTCTAGAATCTATGTCTTGTTATTCATCTGTTAATATAGCGCAATAATAATCTATAGAAAGTAATACTATTACAAGGCGTAATATAATGAAACCTAAAATCTAAATCACATTGTAACTACTGAATCGACATAAATGTTCTTAATAATCTAACCACTAAATATAGTCTGTACGATATTATTTAAAATGTACGTTACTGTTTAAGACTGAAAATATTTTAGCTGTTAAATGTAAAACTAGAACTTAAATATACACTTAGCTGTTCTTTTATGTAACCTTGCTTCAAACAGTAGCAGCGTGAGGTGGTCTAGCATCTCTGTACTGTCTGTCGGCCATCCTGTTGGCCAAAACAACAAAAGGGGCCAGATTGAGGACACCGTGAATCACTTAGCCGTAGCTACTGACTAGGCTTAGAAATGGGAGTGAAGCAGCATGGGACTCAAGCTAAATCCACGCTGTGGCACTTATATGTAAGAAAAAAATCATTCTTACTGGGGACACTCGTCCACAGGACATCTGTACATAAGATAATGTCTGTACATAAGACACTATCCGTACCTTGGACACAGTCCGTACCTTGGAAATAGTCCGTACCTTGGACGCAGTCCGTACCTTGGACACAGTCCGTACCTTGGACCCTAAAAATATGAAACTCTTGTTTAAAACCAAACAAGGTCTAATAAACAAAATAAACCTACCTCGAAATAATTCCGAGGGCTCAATAAATAATAAACAACATGTCCTTTCTTCCATGTGACATTCTGGAGGACAAAAGAAAAGGGACGCCAACGTGCCAGCAAAATACAAATACAAGTTGGGACATCCGTAACTCTACCCTAAAAATATTCAATAATAATATCGAATCGATAAAAGGTAATAACTATCTTTACCTGTAGCCTCGAAATAGCAGCTGATTCAAATTATACAGCAAGATTTAAATAATCACTATTTCTAAAAGCTGGGATACAACAGAGCGTCAAAACAAAGTGAGGTTAAGCACGGAGAGTTGACAGAAGCGATGTTGACAGCGCGCGCCTCCACAGAATAGTAACAGGGTTGTGTCGAACGATAACAGGGTTGGCGACTAGGGAACGTAAAAATTACGCGTCAAATAAACTATCCGGCCTGAACGAGAGGGAATCCGGTGATGATAGGCCAGACATCATATATTATATATAAAAAAGACATGTAACGAACTAAAAACGTTACACAATTATTCTTTTGTTTTCAGTTTATCCTTTTCTTTCTCATAATAACTTTCTAAAAAATAAGAGTTATATAGATACAAAAATACAACGAGTTATTCTTGGTTACAAGTGCTGAATTGACTAATTATTTATCTGAAATATTATATATAGAACTCTAATTTAGAACTAAGCTAAAACCAACATTTCCCCAATTAGCATGTTGTTGACTTGAGCTAAAATAGACTAAACATCAGTTAGTTCTGTTTCAAGTTTTAATTAGAGCATTCAATTAATAAGAATTAAATCGAACTGTAGGTGTCCGAACTTAAAAGTCAAAATGTTAATGAACAATACATTTTAGTAAAACAATTTGCAGAGGTAACTATAATTAGAACTACAATTAATTGTGTACGATTTTAATTTTATAGTGTTTAAAAGTTAAGATTACAGATATTAATACTTTTTTAATAGTCATTCACTCTCTTTTTTATATTTTTTTTATATGATCAAAAAAAAAATTGGTCAAGTGCGAGTTGGACTCGTTCACGAAGGGTTCCGTACCATTTATTATCTATACAACATTAGACACAATATATTATTATAAACTTTTTTTTTCCGATTTAACTGAAATTTTGAATGCGCGTATAAGTAATTAAAAAAAATATGAAGAAACACATTACTAAAAATTGTATTAATCAATAATAAATATGTAAAAAGTAAAAATAAATATGTAAAAATTAAAAAAAAACGATTAAAAAAAGTCGCCTTGACTGGGATTCGAACCTGCCTTACGTCATAGCAGGGTAAAGTCCGAACGCTTTAAAAACGCGGCCACCGAGGACTTGAAAGATTCTATGTAAAATTCTTACTTAAAAGATATTGTTTAGTGAAAGTACTTTTTTATAAACATTTATTTAATTTAGTTTTTAGTATTTGTTCTTATAACGGCAACATAGATACATTATCTGCAACAAATTCAACTGTCTAGCCTGGACGGATAGCGAAGTCTTAGTAATAGGGTTCCCGTTTTTACCTTTTGGGTACGGAACCCTAAAAACTAAGTTAGGATTTTGGATTTAACATAGTTTGCTTCTACGGTAGAGATCGTTCATTGGAAATATCTTAGACTTTTTATATATTTATAGCGGTCTGTTAAGTGAAAAGTTTAATTAGTAAAAATTACTGTTACACAGACCATCGAATTTATTATATATTTTCTAACAAAACGATAATCATGGTTTCTAGAATTATGATAAATTTGTATTGCAATAAATTGTATATTTATTTTTTTTTAATTCGAGTAAAAATTATATTTTGAGTAATTTAAAAATTAAGTTACGGAGAAAAAGAGAAGTCGGGTTTGATTGAATACCTTTAATACCTTTAAATATTTGATACGGATATGTTACAAAATGGCGAAGAAGAATTCGCAATAAAAAAAAGAAATGAATAAAGGATCACCTCTCTATACGGCTGCCTGAAATATTAAGCAAGGATCGAGATATGATAAAAACAAAAAAAGTAATATTTTTTTCTTTCTACGTATATGTAGGCCAGAGTTCAAGGTGTGTCTTATAGCATATATAGGAGTATAGAAAAACCAATATAAAGAAAATCTGCCTTATAAAATATATCTTATTGTTATATAGTATTTTACTTTAATATAAGTTTGTTATAAAAATATATTGTATTAAAAAAGCTTTAAACATAAGCAATGATAATTAAAAAAAGTTCGTATAAATGTATGTCCTAAAATGCATAGTTTTGGAGATACAGGGCGTAGAAGTTTAAGAGATACCGGGCGTAGAAGTGTTTTTTTTCGAATAAATGATATTAAAACAGTTTATGTTGAACTTTTGGCTGAAAAACATGTCAATTTATGATTTCAATAATCTAATCTAGTCTAATAACTATTTTTGCTTGCTTCATCCACGTTACCGTAGATGTAGCTAAGAAGGCTTAGGTAGGGTATATATAATAAATGAACAAAAATACAAGTAGCAGAAAAAGGGGCCAAAAAACCCTACATATATGCTTATTCTCTGCATTAAGTTCATCAGACCGAAGGGAACAGCCATTCGACGACCGGTCAGGCCGACTTTGCTGTAACCCTCGATCTGACCAGCGAAAAGCAGAGAATAGTATTTGAGTACAATAAGTACTACTATGACAAGAGTGCTAGACCTGGATTTAGACCAGATTTTGGCGGTACGATCTGTGTTTGTCACGGCTACCGCTAGATGGCGTAGAGCGTCTAGCACTCTTGCCATAGTAGTACTTATTGTACTCAAATGCTATTCTCTGCTTTTCGTTGGTCAGATCGAGGGTTACAGCCAAGTCGGCCTGACGATGGAGAAAAATCTCCGAAACCCGTCGTCGAATGGCTGTTCCCTTCGGTCTGATGAACCAGGTGGATGACACTTCTTATGGGAGAACTGGCAATAATTGAAAACTTGACTACAAGCGATTTTCTAGGAATCTTCCTTACCGATAAATTATTGACAAGAATGACAGATAAAGCCTTGACATTCTTTCAGTATTCCAGCTCATCTCTTTTTCTTTCTAAAGTGTGCGTTGAAAGGAGACAAAAACAATTTTTGGTGACCCATAATTTGTTATTCGAACACCACTTTTCTCCTTGTCGGGTCGTTGACGTTGACTTGACTTGTCGCCATTTTATTTCTTTTGTTTACACGCTGCATTTTGCTTTGCAAATTTAATACATAAATTATTTAGGCAAATATAGGTTTTTAATAAAACTCCTCGGACTAACGTGTAGCTAAGTGTTGATAATTTTTTTTTTCATCTTAACATGCTCATTGTCGTTCTCTTGATTTTAGGTGACAGAAAAGGATCATAAAATCAAATTGAATTTTTGTATTTTCCTTCCTATTTATCCTTCCTAAATATCAACGAGATGAGCCATCGGAAGAAAGGGACCATAGTACAAAACAGAAAGGTGATCTTGTTTCTTTCCACTTCGGATATTGAAATTATTATATACTGTAGTCCTGTTCGGCATTATGCTCTGAGAAATATAGATAAACAAAGAACAACAGATATAAAGCATCCCAGAGGAAAAGAGAGGCAATACCTGTATGTACTCTCTCTGATATTTGTGAAAGTTACAGCAAAGTATTGTTGTAAATGTCATCTTTTTGATCGACCTGAAAATTCGAGCAAAAAGATGACACTTTCAACAATACCCTGACAGATATCAGAGACGATACAGGTTTT